GAGAGAGAGAGAGAGAGAGAGAGAGAGAGAGAGAGAGAGAGAGGGAGGGTGAGACCTTGGGGGAAAAAATAGATGAAAACAGCAAAACTTCCTTTTGGGGATATGTTTAAAAAGAAAAGTGGTTCACTACCTGAGAATGTTGAACTGGATGTAGTAAAATCACTGTGCAGGTTTGTGTTAACATATAATTTGCTTTATTGAACAAACTAAGTCTATAGTATAGACCTCCTTTTAGACAGGCAAATGTGCATACAGTATCAAAAAAGGAAAAGTTTGACGTTTTGTTTATTTCCAAATAAATTTAACAATAAAACAAGGTTGTGCATAAAAATGAAATCAAATGGAATTATTTTTTTGCTCCCAGCTGGGAGGTTTTATTCGGTTAATCAATGTCAAGTTGGATATCTCAAATTACAGATGTTTGAAATTAACTGCTGAAATAGTTGGCCACAGTTTTGCAGCCTGAAGGACCTTACAGGCAGTTTAATCTGCTACCAAACACTCCCCCTGACTTATGTCAGTCTGATTCACAACCTTGCATAAATGCATAGATTTATAACAAAAATTAAAAACTAGGATAATCATTCCTTTGCCCACAAATCATTCAAGAGGTTGTGGTTTTGAATACCTATCAACTAGTGACCACATTTATCCAGGATTTTTTTGTTCATGTCCTAATGAAGTAAACACTATTTGCATGTTCAAAGAGTATAATGATGCTGATGAGAGCTGAAAAATGCAAAGAGCATCCTTGGGGTTTAATTACACTAACCATTACCTCTGACATAGTTCTTGAAATAATACAAAAAAAGAAAATATTGACTTGTTTCTTTAATCTTGTCTTATAAAAATGAATTAAATACACTGCTGTACTATTAAAAGAAAAATAACCACACATCTTAATGAGTGTTTTAAATCAATAAACGCACATACTGAAAGACAAGCTGCTGAAGTTTATCTTTAATGCGTTCGATAGTGGTTGATGCGGAGCAGTTATTGCTTTGGGAATGTATGATTTCATAAATAATGCTCAGGCACGCAGTTATAGCTAAAGTATATAAATAATGGATCATTTTTACTGTGAAAAAAACAGTTTTGTATCATCAGCAGAGGTTGGACGTCTCATGTTTCATGCTGTTTATCATGCTGATTTATTTATTAACTTATCTGTGGGAATAAAAATGCAACAGGGAAACAAGACAACATAACTTTAACATGGATTGTTTGTTCTTACCTTTTGGTCGTGTAGGTTTGAATTTCTGAATTATTGACGCATTGCTACAGGTGGCGTTAACTTCCAACGCTGGGCTGTTCACGCTGGAATTGTCTGGAGTTCTTGAACATTCCCAAAACGGGATCTGAGTTTCATTCATTTTCCGTAAATCCATTGCCCCGCGAGAATTGGTAGGAATATAGGTTTCTAACCCAATTTAAAACGATTTATTCACGATTTTGCACAGAGTATATTTTAAGAAAGGCTTATACGCATTATATATTAATATATTAATACGCGCTGAAACATTCTGCGCGCCCATTGTCCGCATCTGCGCGCGCGTCTGTGAAAGAATGCGTGAAACTGTGAAACTGTGGTCACTGGAAAGCGCGCTGTAGCTCTGATGAGCGCGCAGCGTGGGTAGACAGTTCTTTAAGAGAGTTAGCACACAGGGTGGGGTGATTATAGAAAGGGAGGGAGAATTGCAGAGTAACACACGCAAAATAACAGTGCCCTTCAGACTCTAGCGGCTCTTGGTTAATGGAATGTAAGTCCTGCGTCTCCCTCCAGTGGATGTTCTGTGTTATTGCTTCTTGGTCATCAAAAGAGTGAGAAGGTAGAGGAAAGACAGAAAAAGAGACCAAAAGCTGCTTCAGACATACCAGTACGAGGTTCAGGACTCTTAACCGCAGAGCTTTCATGAGATGAACATCTCTTACTCACATTGTCATTTTCCAGTGTGTGCGTGTGTGTGTGTGTGTGTGTGCATGTGTGTGTGTGTGTGTGTGTGTGTGTGTGTGTGTGTGTGTGTGTGCGAGAGAGAGAGAGAGAGAGAGAGAGAGAGAGAGAGAGAGAGAGAGGGAGGGTGAGACCTTGGGGGAAAAAATAGATGAAAACAGCAAAACTTCCTTTTGGGGATATGTTTAAAAAGAAAAGTGGTTCACTACCTGAGAATGTTGAACTGGATGTAGTAAAATCACTGTGCAGGTTTGTGTTAACATATAATTTGCTTTATTGAACAAACTAAGTCTATAGTATAGACCTCCTTTTAGACAGGCAAATGTGCATACAGTATCAAAAAAGGAAAAGTTTGACGTTTTGTTTATTTCCAAATAAATTTAACAATAAAACAAGGACAAAGAGAGAGCACACACACACACACATGCTAGCGAAGCTAACAACATTTTGGCTACATTTAATAGTGGGTTAAACGAAAATATAATACATAAAGCTGTGAAAAAAAATTCAAATGTAGTTTCGTTTTTCTCAGAATGCAGTGTGCCCTTTTAAAACAGCATTGTCTGATGTGATGTTTTAGTGGTTGTTCTTGGCAGGGTTTGTTAAATGTTGTCAGATAGTCTCATACTGCAGTATCTATGTAAAAGCCCTGCCAGGTTGGATGTTGAACGCCCTGCCACTTCCGTCTGCATTCTCTGTCCTTGACGGGAGTTTCAATTTGACTCAACTTGATCTGGTGTGCAAAGGATGGGATGTGAATGGGAAAGACATCAAAAATACAATGATCATCCAAGGGCAACGTATTAATTAGTCAACATTCAAAGATCTGAACGTTTAAATCAATCCATAAATAAATAAATATTTGTTGGTAAATGATACTATCAAAAAGTGTAATCACTATAATCACTATATGCTATTAATAAAAATAATATAATATAATATAATATAATATAATATAATATAATATAATATAATATAATATAATATAATATAATATAATATAATATAATATAATATAATATAATATAATATAATATAATATAATATAATATAATATAATATAATATAATATAATATAATATAATATAATATAATACAATACACAGCATTGCTAACCAATATTATAAGGCAGCGGCTATTTGGACTAAGTGTAAATAGCGATAGAGGCTATTTACACTAAGTGCAAATAGCAATGGATTCTATTTACACTAAGTGAAAATAGCAGTATTTTTAACAATATGCTATTAACACTAAGTGCAGATAGCGATAGATGTTAAAATAGCAGGATTTTCTGCTATTTATACTATTTATTTATTTATTATCTATTTATTGTAAATTGTGGAAATTATCTGCACCTCCGAATTATATTACATTATAAAACAGTATGCAGTAATAACGTATTGAGTGTAAATTATAATTTTAATTCAAATTATTAAATGGATGCCACCTTATTGGGACAATAAAGCCCTTCCTAACCCTACCCGATACTTTGTATTCAACTTTTTGATCATTTCCTTCATTTTTATTGAAAATAAATGCCTTTCCTATGTAATATGAGATTTGAAAAGGGAGGGGAAAAAGTTCGGTAAAAGGCGGATTCGAACCCGTAAAAATAATTTGGAATGCGCTTTACCAAATATACCACTGAAGCTGACAACCGTTGCTTGTCTTTTATAGTGGGTGGAGCTAGTGTAAATAGCCTCTGCCAACAAGGCGGGCTATTTGCACTTAGTGTAAATAGACACTCCAATATTGTAATGAGAGGCCAGGATTACTAATTGGCGTATTTAAAAATTATATTAGCTACAGTCTTATATCTTCATGATTTTTTATGAGACGTCTATCAAATGGATAACTTTTCTAATACTCTGTAATACACTGATTTAAATTATAGAATTGTTGAATGGCCCTTTTTCTAGATGTAAAATATAAGTATTTACCAGCAGAATCAATACAGTGCAAGTCATTACCAGCCCATATATGGCCATGACTCCTAGCACCACCCAAAAAGCCAGGTGATCAGCATGTTGACAGACGGCACTCGGTTTAACTGGTCTCTCTGTTGAAACACACAAATGTTGGATTTCTGTTTTATGGGGACATTCCATAGACATCATGTTTTTTTTATACTGTACAAACTTTATTTTCTATCCCCTTACCCTAAACCTACCCATCACACACAACATGCATTTTTAGATTTTCCAAAAACTTTTTTCTCTAAGATTTATAAGCTTGTTTCCTCAGGGGAACCAAAAAATGTCTCCACAAAGACAAGGATTTTGGATACTGCCATCTTTGTGGGGACAATTTTTCTCCATAACATAGGGCATACCTCAGCCACACACACACACACACACACACACACATACACACACATTGGGTTTCCATGTTTTATGGGGACTTTCCACAGACATAATCATTTTTATATTGTACCTTTATATTGTAACTATATATTCCATCCCCTAACATTCTATATATTCTATACATAATATATTCTAATTTGGGTATTACTACCCAATGACAATTTGTCCCCACAAAGCAGGGAATACCTGAACCACACACACACACACACACACACAGAGAGAAAAGGAGTGATGCAAA